CATCGGGGCAGTTTTACAGCAGCACGTAAACGGCGAATGGCAACCCCTAGCATTCTTTTCGAAACGACTGAATCCTACTCAATGCCGCTATAGCACTTTTGGTAGAGAGTTATTGGCTGTTTATTTAGCAATCAAGCACTTTCGACATATGCTGGAAGGTACAGCTTTTACTGTCTTTACAGACCATAAAGCTCTAACGAAAGCCTTATCAGCAAAACAGGATAACTACTCTCCGCGTGAACTACGACATCTCGAGTTTATATCTCAGTTCACCTCCGATCTCCGACACGTAAAGGGTAAACACAATGAAGTGGCAGACGCCTTATCACGTGTGCACATTGACAACATTGTATGCCCAGACATCGACTACGAACGTCTCTCAAACCTACAATGAGATGATGCCGAGCTAAAAAAGATCATGTCTTCTAAAACAACATCTTTAAAGCTAGACGCAATTCCTTTTGGCACGACAAAAATAATCTGCGACACCTCTACAGGTAAATATCGACCTTTCGTCCCAGCAGCTATGAGACATACAGTATTCGAGAAGTTACATAACTTGTCTCATCCCGGTGTCAGCGCTACAATCAAACTAATAAAAGAAAGATTTATATGGCCGAACATTAATAGCGATGTTAAGAAGTGGACACGAAATTGCTTGTCTTGTCAAAGAGTCAAAATCAACCGTCACACTAATGCACCACTTGGTCGCTTTCCTAACCCTGACTCTAGATTTGAACATATACATGTAGACATAGTTGGTCCACTACCTCCTTCCAATGGTTGCAACTACATTCTAACTTGCATCGATAGATTCACTCGTTGGCCTGTAGCAGTTCTAATAGCCGACATCTCAGCTGAAACGGTAGCTAAAGCTTTGGTCGAGAACTGGATAGCTAATTTTGGTGTCCCATCCATTATCACTACGGACAGAGGTGCTCAGTTTGAAAGCCGACTTTTTAACCAGCTAACTGAATTACTGGGCATCAAACGAATACGAACAACCGCCTACCATCCTAGTTCCAACGGCATGGTTGAACGCCTTCATCGACAACTCAAAGCTGCACTCGCTTCTTCTTTGACTCAAAACGACTGGTCAACCAAACTCCCACTGGTACTACTTGGTATACGATCTGCTCTAAAGAAAGATATTGGCTGCTGTGTTTCCGAACTAGTCTATGGAACAACATTACGACTACCAGGAGAATTTTTCACCCCAGGTAACCAAGTTCCACAAGATATGACTGGTTATGTGCACCAGCTAAAACAACACATGAACGAGCTCAAGATATCACTTCCACGCCAGCAGGAACGAACGTCATACATCCCGCAACAACTGACAGATTGCACTCACGTCTTCGTCAGGAGAGAGGGTGTACAACGACCACTTCAACCCGCTTATGATGGCCCATTCAAAGTTTTAAATAGAAATGATAAAATTATCACGATAGAACGACTGAATAAAGCAGAAGCCATCAGTGTCGACAGAGTCAAACCAGCATTCATCGACGATTTCGAAGCCAACGATAAAGACCAGCTGAACGAAGTGCCAACACCTAAATCGACGCAAGCTTCAACGTCGCCTGAGAAACCTATGAAAACTACACGCTCTGGTAGGAGAGTTCATTGGCCTAAACGTTATGTGCAAATCATCAAAATATAACTTACTACGAATTTTCATTTTTATTATCTTTATTCGTAATTGTCATTTAACTACTCATTTAACTGATTAATATTTTCATACGTAAATCACGTCACTACTATTTTAACATCGATATTCCCTGTATTATTACATTTAATCATATAGCGCTTAATATTCACGTATCGTTTCCGTATACAGACTACAGATCCCCGGCCGATTGTATCATTCCTTATATATTCTACCACGATCATCAATCCTATTTTTCTTTTATTATCGCATTTATTATCGGCCTTATTGACCGCATTAAACTGCTCATTTTTTTCAGCTTAATAAATCGCTTTCTATGTACTATCTCTGCTGCATATTACGCCGATGCATGTTTTTGTCGAACACTTGAATGTATTTTTCTTATATTTCAGTGTTCTGGTGGGGGAATTATGTAGTACCCCTATACCAACTATAAACATACGTTTTTAATCTAATTTGCATACTCATATTATATGTTTACACATACCGATTTTATATGTACTTCGTAAACATTTGTCAATTTACTGTTGAACGTTACCTTGATACAATTTCGAAATTGACTACGGCTATAATACACGATTATACTCTTCACAAGTGCCTTCTGATTTTACGTTGTGGGCGTCGAGTAGCCACAACGTCTGCGCACATTGATAAACATGAAGAAGTACTAGGAAATACGTGTACGCTAATTTAGTCAAGTAGAACACGCAACAGTTGAATTCACTGATGGAATTTGAGATCCTTTCGTATTTGTCTGAATGAGATGTTGATGGAACTTGAATTGACAGCTTCTGAGTGAGAGCTTCGATTAATTTAAGTTGAGCTGCTTGATTCTGAAGTTGCTGCTGCTGCAAGATGGATTTGAGATCGTCCAGAGAGATAGACATTGTAATTGGGTTGTAATTAACACAGTCAAAAATGTTCTATAGATGCGCTGAACAGAATAAAACACGTCGTCGCTTGCTAGTTATAACTGCAATGAATGAAAGTAAAACCCCGTCGCCAATTTGTTATAACCGTAATGAATTGAGATAAACCGCGTCGCCAATTTGTTGTAACTGTACGGGGGAATTAAAATGAGGACATTGTCGCCTTGTTCTGTCTGCGCCTGACTAATATATCTATCTGCTTCTGGTACCTTCCGATTCAGCGAACCACGCAAATATCAAAAGACAAAGTCTGTTCTGTGACTGTGTATTGTAGTACAACAGCTACGACAAACTACGACGACGACTACAACAACGACGACAAATAAACTTATTTAGGAAATGGTATTTATACAATTTTACAGCCAATAGAGACAGCTAACAGTATTTGAAATAATTGGTCGTAATAGTCAATAACAAAATGCGTGGGAATGATGATATACCACTTATGCGAGATTAACAGTCATTAAGATAATTGAACAATAACAAAGTGTGTGGGAATTGATGATATACAACTTATGCGAGATTAACAGTCATTAAGATAATTGAACAATAACAAAGTATGTGGGAATTGATGATATACAACTTATGCGAGATTAACAGTCGTTAAGATAATTGAACAATAACAAAGTGTGTGGGATGCTATCAGTAAGTCAGACACTTAAGATAAAGCCGTGAAAATTCTTAGTAATCATTGAAATGAATGAAGTCTCCATATAGTGAACCTATGTCAAAAAGCAGGACAGCTGTAACAACAAATAAACCATTTCTACAGAAATTATCGCCTTTTAATTATTTCTGTCCTCTTAGAGTTGTGAGATTTCAGCATAGTTCAACTGGAACGTAAACTCTTAAAATCAACGTGTAAGGAGCACCACAGTCACACCATACCAGTCACACGCCACTTGAAAAATTCACATTCTCCTACACTCTCAACAAAATCTTGTGCAATTTTATTAGAAATTATTTCTGTTCAAACAGTTTCACTGACTGGAAACCCTCACTATACCACAAGAAGCTGGCGCGACAACACATGGTGTTTACAGTCAATCTTCATGTAGAACGATTTCGTACGTGTTTTGATGACTACTCATTCATTATTCAGACATAATTCAGACAGTCTGAAGAAAATCTTGTTTTCTGCCAATTACATATACGCATATTTTAATTTTGATTATTTCTCGAACGAAGTTTAAACCAGTTAACTGAACGGGACTTTGAAATTATTTGTTTCACAGTCGCTGAGATTTATACATATTAAACTTCACTCACTACTTAATAATTGTGTCTAAAATTCATAAGAACTTAGAGGAAAATACAGGCAATTATAACAGCATTACGCAGAGGAAACCAAGACCTTCATGATATTATAATAATATAAAGAAATGAACATTGTTCATGCTTTCTAGAGTTTAAAATAAAACTAACATTAAATTGCTACTCATATCTACAAATTTACTCACAGTAACTTCATTGGATCTGAAATCATATAGATCGAATAAGACATGATTATGTAATCCACTGAATACTATAGAACAGTTGTGAGGTCAAGGCTGTGCATTGAACTAGTCTGCTGAAGGTCTATCAGACCTACAGTTGTAAACGTCTTTGAGTTAAGTCACCTCTATAGGTATCTTCACACCGCTAAGCACCATAGTGTGGAAATTAACTAAAGTCCTGGAGACTTATATTGTTTCATGGAAAGATGGATTGATCACTGAATGTGTTGTCGACATTAGATGTTTATCGAGAACAAATCTTGAAACCAAAGAATTCTTTTCATAAAGTTGGATTCATGAACCTCAGGCTATACATCTTTATTCCATTGGCAAAAAGCCTCTATCATCAGTCCAATGCTGTCTGAAAACATGGTTGGTTCGAAAGTGCCATGTGAATATACTTACAGGTGGTGTGGATGGTGTATGAGAATATTGGCTTGAGCAGCTAAATGCTTTGGAGTATAGATAGACTGAGTTTCAGATGTCTGACTTCAATTTTCAAAATGTGTAAAATTAATCATAATAATAATAATAATGTATTGTATGTATGTGCTAGAACCCAACATGATAATTATGCTGGGCAAATATGTTCAGGTTTGTCCTTTTCAGTATTCTAAGAATTTTATAATTTTTCATTTTACACATTCTCATTCTACTTTTATCCTTTATGGTGATTGAAACCAAGTAGTAATAAGTAGTTGGCTTGTTAAAGTTTAGGATACTTCATCACTAGCTGTAAATGATTCCCATCGAAGAGTGAACTCTAATCTGTTGAACATAGCGCATAAAGGTTAAGAAGTCGATCACTAAATATTCAACCAAGAGAGATGCTTGTTTTGCATAGGCTGTAACCTTCTACACATTTAGTCACACCAGTACGAAAATATTTACACTTTGTAAAAATGTTTATACAAGAAGACAAACCTCATATCTAACACGTGGCCCAATGCCATTTCGCCACATATCTGAAGACTCAGTAGCTTTAGACTTTACATCGAAGATCTCATCACTATCACCTCCAGCATAAGATTGTTGAACTTGAATTAAACCGAACCGCTCAGCCATTCCAACCCCTTCACGTGCAGCATTTGGTGCTGCTGACGGAGGTATACTTCGTGGAGCAATTTTTATGCCAGTATTAGATTGACATGATGAATTAGATTGAGACTTCACGCCAAAAATTTCTGCCATTTGTGAACCCGTATGGTCGGTTCTATCAGAATCGTTGTCGGAAGGATGTTGGTATTTTTGAGAAGCTTGAATTTCTTCTGGTTTATATGCAAGGCCACTTTTGCTGGAATCGGGAAGAATAGCTAGTAACATCATAACTCAAATACTAACCGGAAAGTGATCATCGCAGTTTACATTACGTATGCAATTAGTTCCATACAAAATACACCTTGAGGAATGCCACAAATTTATATTATCTGGTTATCATAATGGTCGTTCAGTTGTACTCAATACTTATCAGCCGGGCATGTTCACGTCAGAGGACAATCATACACGACCAAAGGACATGCAGGTCCTGTCACTAAAGTAAGTAGCGGTAAACCTTGGAATTCCATAAAACTAAAGATAATTTTAAAAAATTTACACTCCTATGATTCAACAGTGGAGCGGATAAGTTTCAGATGTTTGAAATGACTGATGTCCTATCAGACTTACTCTCGAAAGTAACAAAAGGCGTGTCAGAAGATTTGCTTCTGACCACAAAGAATTGAATTTTATTTATTATCTTCAAGTGTTAGGTTTTTGGTCATTCTATTGAATTTAAAGTAGATTTTATCACAAATCTATCTCAGTAAAAACCAGAGAACACTGAATAGCTGTTTCTTCCAAGTTCAGGAACTTCTAACCATGGAAAACCATGGCTTCATTAAGAGTCGAACTCAGCACCATGAGTTTCGAACCCTAACTTCTGACTTGTCTCAATTCTCAGGCATAACGGCATCTGAAGGCCCGATTTCTGATCCATGGTGTAGTTAGAGGTGTGTACCGTGGAAAGGGCCCAAACTAGGAAGAAACAGCTGTACAGTGCACCTTAGTTACAAAAACTTGTCTTACCACTAACGGTTAGTAGAGAAATCTACCCTGGAATAATCCACTTATCTATTTATTTTGACGCATGACACCACTGATGAGCTTGTTAGTAAGCCAGTGGAATGATTATGTAGCGTTTGCATTATTTCGTGTTTGCCCAAGATGTCAGGGATCAATAATAAGAGGCTATTAATGATTCCCCCTATTACCCAAAATAATGTCCAGTTTAGTAAAACGAATAGTCAAGTTTTGTTGAACTTGTTTGCAAAGCTTCGAGTAAACGCGATAAATAAGGAAATGCTTTCCAACTATTTATGTCAATAGATAGTATTGAATTTTGATAACATTTTTATTGGGACTGTACTAAAAGTTATCACTTCTAAAATAACGTTTCAATCCCAGAAATTAGTTAAGGCCTGATCAGTTTACGCTTACTGGCTTAATAGTATATTTAGCCAGTCTTTATATTATTCCGACTAACAATGCATACATAATATACAAGAGCAGCAATTATCATTAGTTCTTTGCTTTCGAAGTGAAATGTAGCACTTCAGCAGTACATCTAAGTTAAAATATGTTCTTTGTCATTATTCTCAACAGGCTCCATGACTGCCCAGAAGCTTATGTATCCTCCTAACATAACCTTCTACAGGTCACTCTGGAGCCTATACATTATTCATCGCTACCCATCCGGGTTTCACTGAACAACCAGGAGTGTGATATTATTTGAATATCTCCTCAGACTATATTCAATGCATCTGCATTCTCTTCTGCATATTTGGTGGCCAATTGCTTCTTTGATGCTTCCCTATTGCTTATTCTTTCTAGCCATTTGATCTTCAGTATCGACAGAGTGAATACAGGTGCTGATGAAAGTCCCCAGTTTTCCGTTAGAAATACTTGTGGTGATGCGCTTCCAAGTCACTGAACCATATAGAAGCGCTAACTCATCACCGGCATAGACAAAGTTCGAAATTTTCTCCATTTACTAACCGCTATACCACCGACGCACTCGAGTGGTGTGTATAGGTCTCCAGAATTATTTCGGAGTAATGGACACCTGTCATGTCTTCCAAACCTTGACTTTGACACTCTTCATCGAGCAGATGTTGAGAATGGTAGTCATATCGCTACCTAAACTTCACTGAAACTTGTACGAGTGTAAAATTGAAACGATTAGTAGTAGGCAAATAAAAGATGACATAATGGGGTGAAACGCTTCCTAAGATAGAGTTTAACGTTGGAAACAATGTGACGAATCGAAATAATAAATGGAGACAAATGAAATAACATCAGAAGCTGTTCAAAGTCAAAGTAAAAATAGTAATTATAACAATAGTCATAATAAGGGAAATGTACACAGATTAGATAAACAAGATAAAAAATATTTTTCCCCTTCCACTTGCGGCTGAAGTAGAAATATGGGCTGTGCATACTCTACCTCAATTTGATCGACTTTGGAAAGGTCTTCGACAGAGTTGACCGTGAACGAATTCGGAAACTACTTCAACGCTACACAGTGCACCACCGAAAACCTTTATCAACCTGATTCAACACCTATATCACAATGCCACATGAAAACTGATCCATAACGGAAAACTCAGCGAAGTCTCCGAGGGGAATACAGGAGTTAGACAAGGCTGACTATCGGTAGCGCCTAAATTGACAACAGAGGATGCAAGCAAAGATAGAACTTCAAGCAAATACAGAGAAGACGGAATTGGTGAAAATAACCAACCACAACAACGACAACAAGCACCAATCACCATCAACGGAATAAATTCGAAAGAGGTCACTTCCTTCACTTATCTAGGAAGCGTGGTTTCAACCACAGTCAGTAGAACGCATGAAGATGTCAAAGCCAGACAGACAGCTACCCAGCCAGTCAGAATCGGAAAGGCAAGATACACCATGATCAATCTGAAATCATTTTGGGGATCTCCCGCATTTCAAAGCATAAAGAACGTGATTCGGATTTCCAACACCGATGTCAAGTGCGTTCTTCTATGTTGGTCACAATTTGGAGTTGTCACGGAGGCATTTTGAGCAGGTTGATGTCTTTTGTCAACCTTGGAGAACGGGGTGAAATGGAGGTGTGCTGTTGGAGCCCTGTTCCATTCGGAAGCCAAGTGAATAATAACAGTATGATAATATAAAGTATGTAATTGTAAAACATCCACAATTTACAATCGTTGATTAATCGATTAATTAACTAATTCCATAAGCGGGTTAGTTAATTGTTCTCTATTAAACACGTAAATAAATTGATTGGCCCATGAAAATCTTAACGGATTATCATGACAACGATTGTTTTCAGGAAGGAAGTTCATTCTACAAAGTTGTATTAAGTACAAACAGTCATAAAATGTGTTAAGATGAAATAATTACCATGACCATCCTTGATTTAAAATTTGTTGCATGCAACCAGATCCTTGGATTCTATCACGTTGCCAATTCGCTCGATGGAAGTGAACGTATTGGATTGTGTGGTTCATTGACAGATGTTTGGTCTCCATTTGAATCGAATAGAATACTAACACCAACACCTTTTCGGCCTTTTTGTAAAATATCCAATGCCTAAAATGATAGTTTTAGATTGAATACGTTTCAAAAAAGGAAAGGACTTAGTGAACCGAAAATTCTATCTCTTTATTACCCTGTCATTTCAATTCAAACTGACATACAAGAAAGAAAGCAGGTGCAACTACCTGAGATTGCTTTGAACTGATAGGACTGATATTAGTGTATTGAATGGTGACTGTAAACCTGGGTTGAGATAGGATGCAAACCGGTGACCTTAGAACTTCACCACCTGAGTGAGGACAGCTGATTGCTGATCATGTCATCATTCCACTCCAGCTATCACGTGTTCCTTCAGTTTTCATTTGAGTCAGCAGATATCCTGTGTTATCCTATCATGGACATGTTTAATGATTCTTTTTCCAAAAATGTCGTGCCAGCCGCTTGGAAGGACATTAAAATTGTACCTATTCCTAAGTCGTCTACTGCGACATGTTTTAAATTCAGACCCATTGCTATTACTTCCCCTTTTCTAAAAGCTATAGAAAAGTTGCTCTTACTTAATCTTCAGCCCTCACTTAAAGCCTTTAACGATCCCAAACAATTCGCCTACAAACATAGTAGAAGTACTTTGGGCACAGCTGCAGTCCTGTATCATAACATTGTCTCCAGCTTAGACAAGGGGGCTAAATCTGTTCGCTGCACCTTCCTAGATTATACATCTGCTTTCGACACAGTACCTAGGGACATTTTACTAAACAAGCTTGCTGAAACTCAAACTGACTGTTGGGTTGTCAAATGGCTCCATTCTTATTTCTCAGAAAGAAAGCAATACACTGTATGTCAGGGAAAGTCGTCCACTTCATTGCTTACTGAGGCTGGTGTCCCTCAAGGCGCTGTCCTTTCTCCTTTTCTGTTTTCTTTCTTCTTGCATGACTTGCCTCACTCCGATGAAATGAACTTTGTTAAGTATGCCGATGATCTAGCTATTTCAATGTCTGTTAACTCTCAACTTGACTGTATTAAGATTAACAACTTTCTATCAGAAATTAGCAAATGGTCTTCGTCTAACGGCCTTAAACTTAATCCTTCCAAATGTCAGACTGTTAATTTCAGTTTCCGATGTAAACGAATATTAAATGAAGCCGTTGGTTCCTATGACCCTTGCAAAATCGATGATACTGATATAGAAACCCAGTTTGAAGTTAAGTATCTTGGATTAGTTCTCTCTTCTGACACATCTTGGTCTTCTCATGTCTTAGCGATTTCTCAAAGAATATTTCGTCTGACTTTTTACATTAAGAAGTTGAGGCACTCAGGCATAACCCAACCACTCCTCTTACAGTTTATCAACTCGTGTATTTTACCTATTCTTCTTTACTGTTCACCCGTATTCTTTCCTGGATTGTTTAAAAAAGACTGTCATACTTCGTAGAACTCTGAAGACTGTCAGTAGGACGAGTAGTATCCCATTGGGCCATATCGTTGACATTGTCACTGACAGGCACTTGATGTCATGCAACAGATTCGCTACAGGAATTTTGTCAGACTGTGAGCACCCACTCTACCCCCAGCTCCAACCTTGTGTCTCCTCAGGTAAAACAAGAAATCTTTTCAGAAGACTTTATGCACGTACGTCCAAGTATAAAAATTCCACTATAACATATTTAGCACCACTAAATAGACCATTTCCTTCAACCTTAAAGCATCATACTTTATTGTTATTGTATTTCTTATATTAATAATCCTTTCAATTTTTTCGTTTTGTTTATTTTATTTTTCATAAGTGTGGACATAATTTTAAGCTTTTAACTTTGTATTTCACCTCACTATACCATGTCAACAGAACATTAGACCCAATTATCCATAACATGCTAAAGTTTCCAAACAG